ATAAGAGGGACTTCAACAACCCGTCACCCCGTTTCGCTACTACCATATGCAGCAGTATGGTTATTATATAATTTGAATATTTTGATGAATCCATAATATTTGATGAAGATGTGAGATCAACAAAATATAAACTCGCTTCTTGCCCTTCGCCATTACGCTGCCAAATGGTACTGACAGTGACGGAGCATGACACCACGGAGTGAAGTCATCCGCCAGTCGCCATCCGCCAGTCAGAGTATCCGCCGGTCGCATCCGCCAGTCAATTTTTTTTTCTGTTCATACAAAATAAAAAAGTAACTTATTGTTGTAATCGCTGGTTCATGCGGCAGTGGAAAATATTAAAAAATTGTTTGTGTCAAAATGACGATTTTTAGATGAAATTCAGAAAACACGCTAGCATTTCTCCCGACTTCAGGCGATCACAACCACAGTTTGAAAATCGATATAACCAAACTAGCAAGTAATAAATAATCTCAAGTATCTATATAGTATAGAAATTATTTCAGACCTTTGGCACAATCATTATTTTGGAAGCAATTTGGGGTCAAAATGACGATTTTTAGTACAAATTAATAAAACGCGCTAACATTCCTCCAGACTCCAGGCGATCACAACCACAGTTTGAAAATCGATACACATTAACTAACTAGTAATACATAATCTCCAGTATCTATATAGTATAGAAATTATTTCAGACCTTTGGCACAATCATCATTTTGGTTGCAATTTGGGGTCAAAATGACGATTTTTAGATCAAATTCATAAAACACGCTAACATTCCTCCCGAGTTGAGGCGATAGCAACCACCGTTTGAAAATCGATACACATTAACTAACTAGTAATAAATAATCTCCAGTATCTATATAATATAGAAATTATTTCAGACCTTTGGCACAATCATTATTTTGGTTGCAATGGCTTCACCAGTTTTACTCTGGAAGAAGTTGGAAACAGATAACAGGAAGGGGCTACATGGCTACATCTCCTTTTTTTTGAATTTTAATCAAGCATGATTTTTAATTTTTTTTTTACAAATGTCTATTTCAGGGCAACAGAAACAAAAACAATAAATGTGTAGGTAGGCATCATAATTCTGTTCAAATTAAAAATAAGATCACATTTAATTTAGTCAGTTTTCATAATTAAATACATAATAACATGTACTTATAAATTTGAATAAGGTTCAATGGCTTTTTCATTTAGTGCCAGTTTATACACCACAAAACCTCTCGTTTAGGTGTCACACTCAGAGAAGAGTGAAAGGCCTTAATTTGGTTCTAAAATAGGCATCGCGAAATGTTGGAATTGAACTTGAATCCCCCTAAAAATTCAGTAAAGTTTACAAAAAGTAAAATATGTTCTAAAAGAAGTTTCGAATAAATACAAACACGAATACATTGCTTAGTGGTTAGTACCGGTAGCAATTGATCACGGTAGCACAATCTGGTCATTCTGTGTTTCGCAAGTGAATAACTTACTTGTTTTCGAAGTATTGCAATTGTTTATTATTATTCAGTAATGATTATAATACGCACAAAAAATTAATTCGTTGAATTTTTATGAATTGGAAGTAATATTCAACTTAGTTTCATCGTAAACGAATGATTTCAGTCGAATGTAAATGCGATATCCGCCATGTTAATGACAGTTCAGTGACCTCGTGGTGAACGCAACAGGGGATTCACCGATGTTTAGCAAGATCTTTATGCTTTGATTTTGACGGGGAAAACGGCATGATTTTTTGTTAAATCGAAAAATTAGTTGTTTTCAAAAAATAAACTGAGCATTCAAAGAATAATTTAACATTGTTCACAGAAATAACAGCCCATGTCGAAACGAAGCTTACCCATCAC